ACAAGATAGAACAGGCTGCAGTGAGAGTCTCTCTCCATGGGATATTTAAAAATAGCAGGTTTGTGCATTTAGTCCTTCTCAGACAAGCTCAGGGGTTTAGTGTTGCTGGAGCCCACAGGAACTACGCTACACTATGCTTTTTGTTTTTTCTCCTAGTGAAGAATAGAATTGAGCAGTTCATATAATCTGGTCAAAATTAATATCTATAAACACTTGAAGATCCACTCATTACTAGAAGAGTATGTCGTGTAAAACCTAAAGCAATGGTCAAAGTTGTCACAGTGAAATTGAAGGTGTGTTGATTGATTTGCGTCGCCAACTCATTCATTGAGTAGCATTACAAGTTAACGTTCCACCTTAAAAGTTGTCAGCAGTCAGCCCAGTGAATTAAGTTTTCTTCTCAGCCTACAGCTGCTGCAAGAGGCAGCAAAACATCCTTTCATTTTATAGTTACAGTCCACTAATAAAACCAGCCACAACTCAGCCCTGAGCAGAGTGACTGTCCACTACTGACCAATCAACAGACTGCAGTGTTCACAGCTCCACCTTTTAATAGCAGATCTGTGTGCTAGGTACCCCAACAGAGGGGGGACCAAAAATGGTGACCATATGGAATGGATCCACTGGTACCATTCACAACTTTTCACAGTGGAAACAGTAAAAAAGTACCAAACTGGACTGAACCGTCCCAGACTGCTCAGTGGAAACGGCTGTCCAGTTTGCCAAATCCACCATGTAAATAGCAGTCCGTCAGGCGCAGGCACACCTGGCTCTTTAGGTAAACAGCAGACGACACTCAGTCTGACTGAATTCATGTTACGCCCAAAACACAACTATGATTAATTAAGCGACCTAACACAACCCCTTTGCCCCATTCTGCCTTACTATGCAACCAGACAATGCACAGTTTACTGGCACAAGTGAAGCCATACACGCCCTTAATACACTTATGATCATGCACTGTTGAATGTTTAAACAAGGCCCTTCGTGTTGAACTTACACATGACATATACAGCAGAAGATACACTTGTGCTATTTCTCCCCCTCCTTAGTTTACCAATGGTGCAGTGGTCACAAAGACCGTGACATTTAATATGCACTAAGTTTGATCAAATGTCATCCATTGCCCCCATCTAAGAAAGGACAGAGAACTGCGTCTACGCTGGCACGCCACCACTCCCATTATATAAGATTGGGTGGCGAGGATTTGCAATGAAGACGGTGGATGTTTGTCTGGGCTGCTTGTTCCACACAGTCATTCTGTTAACCACAGCTAAAATGGGGAGTGCCTGAGATTAGGGAAGTGGGTGTTTTTGAGGAGTCTGTGGTTTTAAGAGGTTTTTCTTTGTGTGTGTTCCCCCCTGTATCATATTGATGTGTGCATGTTTCTTCTTGTATTTCTTCACCACTTTGAAAAGCAGAGTGAGGATATTTTTATGAAGTGAGGTCAGTTTGACAAGTCCTTCTGCTTTCAAAGGACCAGTTGAGGGTTCGTGTTTGGGTAGTTCAGGATCCTAAACAAAACCACGACAAGTTTTTGGCTTTACAATTACATGGATTTGCTATTATGCAGTACATGATTTATTGAAAATTGTATTGTGTTTAAGAAACTGCCAGATAACACAATAACTTTGAAATGTAATGAAAAACATCTCTGGGTTAGGTTGAGGATGTGACAGTGAGATTATGGCCTAATTTAAGTGTGAGTAATTACCAACTAGTAACTTAAGATTTGCTTTTATTTTTTTGTGGCTTTTTGCCTTTATTAGAAAGGACAGCTAGAGAGTGAAAGAGGGAGAGAGAGGGGATGACATGCAGCAAAGGGCCGCAGATTGGAATCAAACCCACAGCAGCTGCTGCAAGGATAAAGCCTTTGTACATGGGATGCCTGCTCTACCAGGTGAGCAACTGGGTGCCTCTAACAAGTAACTTTTAATTGAGCTTATGTAATTTTTGCTGAACAGCAGCCATTTTAGTCGATTTGTATCTTACATGACATGGCACTTTCCTGTCATTTCTTGAGATTGTTTGGTCTTGGTGACGCTGTTTTACTTTTGTGATAAATCAAATGAAATGTTTATATTTTTCATGCAAAAAGGGTGTTTTGTTGCTGATGAATTCATTTTGCATTTTGCTCATAAGAGATACGATGAATGTCATAGTGCCCCTTTTCCACCGCAGGATCATTCACCCGGGATTTTGAACAACCTCTGCGCGTTTCCACCGAAATTACCCAGGTAAAAAACTTTCCCTCAACCCCAAACTTTCCCTGAAAAAAGTACCTAGTAGGGGAGTAGGACTTTTCAGATTACCCGGAATTCTTGAGGGGCGGGGCTGTGTGCTGAAGAACGCTGATCGCCAACACAAACAAATATGAACCTTTTCTGCTAAAGTGCTCAACGGCTATAAAAATAATCTGACCTCATATAACAAGATTGTTTTGATCTCACACCCTCTTGAGTGTAGCTGTTTGCTTTCATCACTTCCACTTTTTGTCTTGTGCCCTGAGCTGACCTGCAAATCGGAGTGATTTCACTCACCGTTGGGCTCCACCAGCTCTGACACCAAGTTAACATGTTGTCTGAAAACAGCAGAATAATGCCGACTAGTGCCAATGGTATTAGAGAGACTGCAATCACTAGGGCGACAGACTCTCAGCGACTGCCCGACATTGATCAGCGGCTGACCGTCAGCTTGGTGTGTCAGGGCCGAAACAGTTAACAGGTGTCCTCAGAGCGTACTTCTGTCAGAGTAACACACTGCTAATAAATATGTCCCGTAGATCTCAAGAGCTCACACTCAACACTGCACTCTTTGGGTCCTCAGCGATACACTTGCCAAGGCTGAGGTCCACTGGATCAACGGTTGTAGAGAATATGGAAGGACGGACAGACAGACAGGGACCCCTTCTATTTTAGTTAGCTCACGATTAGTTGGGGCCTGAGGAACGGAGACCTTCAATGGAAGGTCCTCATAAGAACAGAAAAACAAGGGTGTGTGTATATGTAAGTGTAGCTGACTCAATGTGTGTATGCTGTATCTCCTGTGTTTGTGTGTGTGTTTTATCTGTTTATCTTCTGCCTGTCTATCTGTGTGCTTCTATATCCATTTGTCTGTCTGCCAGTTTCCCTGTCTGCCTGCTTGCTTTCCTTTCTTACACTCAGTCTATTTGTCAGTCTATCTGCCTGTCTGTTTCTCCCTCTCTCTTTCTGTCTATCCATCTGTGTGTCTATCTAGCTTACGGCCCTGATCCTGCCTGCTCTCCCAGGTTTATGAAATGCGAGCAGCTTAGCAGATGGTGCATATCGTATTCTGGTCGGCTCTGTGTGGGTTTTGTACCACAGACGAAGGCTTACGATACATGTGAGCCTTTAGTCGCACAGACACACCGACGCAGAGGGAGCTCGGGCTGTTAGCGCATGAGAGGAAACAGAGAGAGGAAGAAGAGACAGAGACACAGACTGAGTCTGAAGGAGGAAAAAACTGGGAGAATGAGAGATGTGGAAAAGAGAAGATGTAGGTTTTAGAGAGAGGTATGAGTGAGAAAGATAAATAGTGTGCAAGAAACACAGAGAGAAAAACACATAATACTGGTTTAGTAATGATTTGTACAACCTGTGGAAAAATTTAAACTGTATTCCAGATATTCAAGATTATGTACCGCTGCAAATAAGGTGTTTTTCAAAGTAAATACTGATTACTTATTATTAGGGCTGCCCCCAACTACGAATTTTCCTAGTCGACCAATAGTCGTCATTAAGAGCCATTAGTCGACTACTCGTCCTCATGTTTACAATATCAATTTAATTATTTAATAACATTGTTAACCTCCGCTACATTACAGAGAAATACAAATTGTACTAATGAACCTTCATTAATATAGGCCTATATTTTATCTACAAGTGCACGTCACACACTGAGCGAGCCACCTGTTAATGACGTTGTTGGCAAAGCAGTAATGATTGTGCTAAGTGGCTAATGGGCATGTAGCTACTTCCATGTTTCAGATGATATGTCATGTTTGTAGTCGACCAGTGAAGATGAGTTTACCTATCACCTTGGGTTCGTCCTTCACCTTCTCAAAATGATCCCACACTTTGGATTTCCTGCCTGACATGTTATTAACTAGCTTGTGGAATAACCACAGAGATTAGAGGCCGTACACATGCCGAACAAGCATCGTACAGCCTATTTATCTGAAATCCTGAGTGCAGAGCTGATCTTCTTCCAGGAGCTGTTTATAAGGGTGGAGACCTATCATTCATGGGACAGATGTAAAGCTCTGGGTTGCCCTGCACTAACATGATCAACTTTTCTGTATTTATCAGAATGAACATTTATGGAAGTCGGGAAAGACATCTGTCAGCTGTGATTGGTTTGTAACCTGACCCCTGTCTGACTGTTGAGCGTGGCCTCTTCCTGTGTCTGTCCTTTCAAATTAAATTCCCACATGGTCCAGTCAGATAGGTTTTGATTTATTTTGATTTATTTTGACAAGGTGCAGCTCCTAATAGTGTTTCACGTTTGTTTTATTTATTTATTTATTTATTTTCTGCGACTAAGCAACCAATGAAATCTTGCGGACTAATGATCTTTCTGGTCGACTAAGGTTTGGTCGACTATCAGGGGGCAGCTCAAGTTATTAAAGTTATTAGTGATTAAAAACTTGTCATTAAGCCCCTGAATGTTAGGTGCTGTCATCTCAGCATAATTTAAATATTATAATCTGTTCGTGCATTCTGAAAATGTACAATACGTCATTTGCCAGAGACATGACAGAAAAAGAAATCTTGAGAGGATCAACAGAGAAGTGGAGCGACAAACAAAGCTTTTACTCCTGAATGACATAAACGCTAAACGACGTCAATCCAGCTAATCAAAAGCACAGATACAACTCCCCTGATTGTAATTCCTATATAGGAACCCATCAGACTCTTTTCAGAGCTTCTGAGTGGCCCAGTCAGACTAACAAATCACCAAACAGCTCTGATTGGACTCACCATGATGTAGTGCCTCTGCATCTCAGTCTTCTCACTGGCCAGCTTCTCACACTCCAGCTTCAGGCTGCACAAGGACGAAAAAGGACACACACGGATTAAATGATGTATTTGCATCCACTGAAATAAATTATAATTTCCACAGAATTTATTTATTGCAGAGGTCAGACAGAGTTTAAGGCTGTGTGAGGATACCAAAAAATTATTCTCAGCCACACAGTCGGGCTACCTATTACTGCTAAAAGTGGCACTGAAAAATATCACCTTCAATCGCCTGGGTCTTATTCACCACTGCAATTCATCACACCTCCATTTAAGGACAGTTTGACAAGTTCTTCTGTGTCCAGTCGGTTATATATGTCATATGTACATTGGTGAGTTTATGTTAGAGTAGTTTGTGCCTTTTTGTTCTGATCTGCTTTTTTCTTGCATCAAGTCCAAGTTGGTTTATTTCCAAATGTGTTTCAAATGCACTGCAGTGTTTCCCCTATAATTGGAAACCCTGCAAGGCCAAAAAAATAAAACCGTTTTTTTAATAGGCTCCCAAATATAAAGCCAAATATCCATTCATTCGAAAATCAATGATTTGCCGGAGGGAAGAGTCTTAACTGTGTTTTGCTTTCATTTATGGTCGTGCTAGGTTCTCTCCTCTCTGTTCTACCGAGGGCAGGGCTTCACCTGTCCACTCACAGAGCAGCAGAGCGTGAAGTGAACGTTACTCGAGTTGATGACAGCTCATTACATTGCATCCAATAAAAGCAAGTGCAAGAGGCTTAAGCTAATAATGGTGAGTAGCAAAAAACAGTTGTTTTGTCTAAGAATCTTGAAGGTTGTCATTGAGCCAAATTTTCTATTTGTTAAGTGCTGTTGTTGTTAAGCCACCTTGCATGTGTATTAATGGAGTCAATTTAAACTTGACTTTAAACTTGTGAGTCAGAAATTTCAACTGGAATGCCCCCTGTAATCAGATTTCTGATTTGGAAAGTCTGAAGATTCTCACAAACTTAACCTTACAATCCAACATGGCTGCTCTGCCCATCAACGGTAGTCAAAGCTGTATAAGAATACTGTTTCTTGGCACTTACATTTTATTTGTGTCTCATTAAAACTGTTCATACACACAGTCCTGTCTGACTTCTATCTGCGGATGTATTGCTACAGTATTAGTATGCACAAAATACAGCGTGAAGCAGGGGTGTCAAACTCATTATAATTCATGAGCAACATACAGCCCACTTTAATCTTAGCCAATAAAACCATCACACAATAAACCTATAAGTAACAACAGCTCCAATATTTTCCTGTTTTTGAGTAAAGGATTACAAGTACATTCTGTAGACATTCATCCTTTTACAAAACAGATGAACAGCCTGAGATGTTTTAAGAAAAATAAGCGCGATATCAACAGTATGTCTCAGTTTTTCCACATTCAGTCAGTCTACTTCTCACTGTCATTACAGCTGCCAATTGACAATATTTTGCACAATGTTCAATAACTTTAAACATGGTCATAGTAAATATTCATTGATATATCAGAGAGCTGTGTTCTTGTCAGGGTGGAAAAGCCTCTGAAGCAGAATTATACATGAAGCAGGCAATGCATTTTTTAACTTGCTTCTGAAGCCTGGCACCTCTTAGTCTAGTCATCTAGTAGGGCTGGACTGGACCCTTTGGCGGGCTGGTTCTGGCCCGCTATGGCTATGTTTGACACCCCTGACATAAAGTGTTGTCAACAACTGGTATTGCTAACAACATCTTGGTTTTCCAACTTGTACTGAAATGCAGTCAACTCAGGTGTGACGTCATTCCCAGCCTCAACCTCCAACTTCTAAAATGGAATGCAGCCTTACAGCCCTAGTAACTGACTGGGTTAGCAAACCACCACCATCCACCACCACCCCAAAGCTCTCAACCTGGGGAAACACTGCATTGCATTGGTCAATAATGGATGGCATGTGGAAAAAATATGCAGATGCAAGTATCTCAAAATAGTTTCTCAAGCAAGTCTTCATGATGGGTACATTATTAGTCTGAGTGGGCGGAAGTTCGCTGCATAGATCAGCTTCTCATTGGGCGGAACGAGCCACCCGCTGAAGTCCCGCCCTACCACCTCCGGTTGTGTAGCAGTTTTCAACCGTTTTCAACACGTCCTTTACTAAATTTTGCAGTGTTAGATCTTGCAGGGATGTAGCCATTTTTCTGCCATGGTTCGCGTCCTGTAGGCGATATTTTTGTGGGAGTGTTAAACCAAAACCTGTTTCCCCCCAGCAATATTTATGCAAGCGCACCGTTGCTGTGGCACCGCCCAGAACGATTGTGATTGGTTGAAAGAAATACAAGCAGCCAGGGCGTTTTTTTCTCCCATCTCAAAGTGAGAGTCGGTACAGCCAGACCTTTCTTTTCTTGAGAAAGGTCTGGTGAGCGAGACTAGTACATTATTAACATGTAACAGTTCCAGACTGCTAAAACTGTCAAGCTCAGGTGGGACCGTTTGAGGTTTACCAGCCACTTTATCAGGCCAATGTTAAGAAAAGGTGAAGTGGAGATTGATATTACTGTATATAAGTCAGATGGTTTATTAATATGAAAAGCTACTGTGCCATGCTGGTAATTGTATTTGTGTCGTCTCATCCTGTAAAGATTAAAAGTGCACGAGTAGATATAAGTGACTGTTTGCCTCTTTGTGTGTGAGTGTATGTGAGTGTCTCACCGACAACCATCAGTAGTGTTAAAGTAGTGTTGCTGTATCGCAGCAGGCTGTTCAGCCTGCCCACTGAGGTGTGAGCAAGAGGCTGGGTGGTTTATTTTTCTTAGCCAAGGTCACTTCTGGTCAGCCATATGATAACGTGGCCACCAGTGACCTCCAGCTGGAGAAAATAAAAAGGACCGAACTACGAGTGATCCACAAGGTGTAAACAGCAATTAGTAGAAATAATGACTTTGGAGATAAGATAGGAATATATGTGTTAAAAATGTATTTATGTTGAAGGACAAACTGGAAATCGCTGCAATAAAAAGACATTTGAGCTACATTGATAAAGTTAATGAAGGTGAAAGACAAGATCCCTTATTGATTCCCCTAATTACTGCAAGTGTGTACCTATTACTGTGAAGGTGATGTATAGATTTGGGCAAAAACAATGAGTTAGAGATGAATGTGAAGCTTTGAGATGATTGAGACTGGATCAGTGTGATGAGCTGCAACTCACTATCAATATTTTGTACATTCAGTGTCGTAATAAAGATTAAAAGACGGCACTTGTGCGCTGTCATATGATCTTTACAGGTTCATATCGTTAAGAATTTGACACCCAGTTCCACTGAACTGAATAACAACATATGTGAAATATTGTGTCGATACCTGTGGTACTGCGCCTGGAGGAACTGGAATTCCTCCTTGATACGGTCCAGGGTTTCCAGGACTGTGAACTTGAAAGACTGGCCGGGTTGTAAGGGAACCTGCAGAGGAAAAGGGAAAAGAGAACGAAAGGATGAAAAACAGATACTGAAGCGTGTGTATGTGCGTGTGTGTGTGTATGTGTGTTTCCTCACAAGAAAAGAGATTGTATGCATTGTGCCTTTAATGTATTTGTGTAGGTTCATGTGCACCTGCATTAGCCATACATTTGAGTGTGTGTGCATGCAAGTACAAGCAAAAGTGTGTGTGTGTGTGTGTGTGTGTGTGTGTGTGTCAGGGAGCAAGGCAAGGGGAGAAAAAAGCCAAGATGAAAGTGAGAGGGAAGGTCACTTCCCCTTCCCACACATCATAAAGCCGTGTCCTCTCTCTCTCTGTTCTCCTCCTCCTCTAATGACTCTGCCTCCCTCCCTCCACTGCCCCCATCCTTTCTTCCTCTCCTCTCGCTCTCCCTCTCTTCCACATTAGCATCCTCTCCACTCTGCCAGGTTGCTAATGTATTCCAGCCTACAAAGAGCTGAGAAGGGAGGAAACGTCAAATGAATAACTTATAGGGAATCACGGCACCGTCTCTCACCTGCTAAAAGCTAAAGAAGGCCCAACAAAACAAGCACCTCCCTGGGGTACACCCCTTAACCACCACCACCAACACCACCACCAGCCCTCCGTGTCTGTCTAAAGTGCTTTCGACAGCCGCCCTCCTCCTCCTTCGAGAAGTTTTAGAGACAAGGGCATTGTTTTTGGAGGCTGTAGCTGTTTATGTTTGGGGATGGGGCTTAGTTTGCAGTCAGGGAAATCTAGAGTAAGCAGGAGAGTTTTTTTATTTTATTGACACTGTGGATTCTCAGAGGAGATCCAAGGTGGCTGTGGCTCAGGAGGTAGAGCAGGTTGTCCACTAATCGGAAGATCAGTAGATCGATCCCCGGCTCCTCCAGTCCACATGTCGAAGCATCCTTGGGCAAGATACTGAACTCCAAATGGCTCCCAATTGGCTGTGCAATCTGTGTGTAAATGTCTAAAAACTGAGAAGCTACCTTGTAGCCTCGGCCACCTGTGTGGGAATGAGTGAATGTGACTTGTAGTGTAAAAACACTTGGTGTGGTTAAAGACTAGAGATACGTATTGTATATGCATTTATGTATCTCCTAATTCGGACTGACTAATTTTCTCTCCACTGTGAGACCCCTGCTGTCAGTCTGGGGAGGACGCAGACTGCCAGGTGTCTCTGCCACTTCTTTTTAGCCACTTCTTATCACCTGTCAGTGATCAGGTTCACACTATCCCGCCAAGATCCAGCCTCCCTCTGACGCCTCTAGTGCAAAAAAAACAAGAGCCTTATTGACACAGGACTACAGTAGAAATACCAGGGGAACCCACGGGATTTGTTTAGAAATTGCCACCCACACATTTTTTGTTTTGTGCAGCACATTCGCACAAGATAAGCAAAGTCTGTGTGGTACTAAAGTTTACTGACATAATTCCCCTGATATGATGTCAAAGTCCTGCGTAACATTCACTTCCTGCGCAAAAACAGCAATGGCTGCTAAGAAGAAAAACAGGCTTAGGACACCCCACGTGCTGTGTGGGGTGGGTCTCCATGATGTGTAGCAAGATAAACCTCCTGAATTTGCACCCAAAACGTTGTCAAAACTTTCATGTAATTGCCAACAACGGCTCCATTAAGAAAGAGCCAAAAAAGGAAAAAAAGGTATGGAGTAACCAATAGATCTTGCAGAAACGCAAACAAACAATCTCAAACCAGGTGCCGATTTGCAGAGGACTCATGTTATGACAGGATCTCTGTGTTTTGTGAAAGCCCTAATACCTCAGCAGTGGCCAAGCGATTCTGTTTCTGTGCCACCTGCACAACCTTTATCCATCTTTCCAGCCAAAACTACTGGAGCTGCCCCCTAAAAGTTGGAGATCAGTTGGAGAGTTGTCCTCTATCGACTGACTCTGACTCTATTCCTTCAAGTCGAGCAGTCTTTTTTTCTCTTCTTTCTGTCAGTTAGTGTGCAGTGTACTTCTGGGGACATTTCGGTCCCAAAATTTAGCTGCAGAGTGAGCGCTCCTTGTATTCATGCTGCTCTTTAAACAAGGCAGCTGCACAGTGGATGACAGGCTTTGCCCCGTCAGGCTCTGAAAAAAAACCTTTTTTAGCCTTCTGATTAGACGTGATGACTTAACGGCTCACAACAACTTGATATGACACATTCTCTGGCTTTTGTTTGGTATCTAAAAATTGTTACACATTTCCAATCCCTTGTTAGCTTGTTTACTATATTACATAAATGCATCTGTCGCACTCAAAACATCCTACTGATCCCTATGTTTTGCCTTAATCCCTCAGTGGTGACCAAGAGATTCTACCTTGGTGCCACCTGCATGACCTTCACCCATCTTTTCCCCCTGAAAGTTGGAGATGCAAATCATCAGCTGGAGACCCCTCAATCAACAGAACCTGCTTCAAGTCCAGCAGTCTTTTTTTTTCTGTCAGTCAGTGTGAAGGGTACTTCTGGGGACATTTCAGTCCTGAGATTTAGCTGCAGAGTGCTGCTCTTTAGAACACGTAGCTGCAGACACAGAGGCAGCTGCCCAGAGGATGAAAGGCTTGCCTTGTCAGGCTCAGAGAAAACCTTATTTTCAACCTTCTAATTAGACATGATGAATTCACAGCTCACAACAACCTAATATGAGACAGTCTCTGGCTTTTGTTTGATACCTAAAAAATGCTGCACATTTCCAATCTGTCATTAGCTTGTTTACCATATTACATAAATGTCACTGTCACACTGAAGGTCCAGCTGAAGCCTGTTCAAACTGTTGAAGTCTATATGGGAAAAAAAGGAACAAATAGACAAATATTCCCATTGATCAGCTATATCTGATTCAACATACATAATTCTGGATCAGTTAAAGCCCTAAAAAATAACTTGCTGATGCAGCAAGCAGAGATACCTGAGCTTATATAACCCTGTCCAGGTTTACTGGTGTTCTGTGGTCCTAAAATTAAGTTTCCTTTCACTGTGATTTGGCAAACAGCGAAGACTCAAATTGCAGGACAGGGAATGGATGTACTCGACTTTGCAGTCTTATAATACCTCTGATGATGCTGTCAATCTTCAATCCAACATCTAAAGTTACAAAACATATGGAGTGTGTCTTTTCACTTAGTAACCCAAGCCAACTATGAATCCATTTGTCCACCCATTGGTTCGCCTGCGCACGTATCTATCCATCCATCCAAAGTGAGCGGCACAGTGCAGCTGGGTGGCTATCGGCCTGCAGCTACGGCTAAAAGATTGGCGGTTTCAGTGGCGGGGCTTCATTAGTCTAGACAAGCACAATTCAATTAGATTTCAATTAGTCCGACGGTGGAGGTCAGGGACGCGGTGGGTTCCCCAGTAATTAATCCACGGAGCCGAGCTGAGCTGAGCTAAACTGAGCTGAGGCAGGCATAGCAGGGACATCTAGATGGCTGGATGGGCACAATACACACAAATCCATCAGGGTGTGTGTGCGTGTGTGTGGGCGGGAGAGGTGGAGGGGGTGGGTGGGATAGATGAGGATGGGGGGTGTCTGCCAACAGATCCCCACTGACCTTGATTCACACCACACACACTCAGTAGGGGAGGGGAGGACGGGGGGGGGGGGGGGGGGGGGGGGGGGGGGGGGGGGGGGGTAGATACTGATCTGGCACATGCAGATACAAACACACACGCCCACGTAGCCATGAAAAATACACACAAACAAGCAAACACACACTGCTGCACATGCAGATTACCACTTAGGCTACACACAAGCAATCAGGGAACACGCAAACCGACAGTGTGAGAGAGAGCAGGGATGGAGGGATGGATTGATGAGGGTTGGGAAAAAAGGCGGAAGAGAGATAGATACTCATCTGACAGAGAGAGGGATGGATGGACCGAGGGATGGAGGGAGTGATAGACTAGTCTGACATCTTTACAGAGGAGTGAAAGACCGAGCAGAGAGACAGATGATGAAAGACTGGCGTGGCTGCTGACTGAGAGAGATAGCCGGCCATTCATTCGTCTGACACCGAGGGGATGGGAAGAAGAAGAAGAGACAGAAAGAGGGAGAGAAAGAGTCGTGCTCTCTTCACTGTAGTCAACACAGCCTTGTCGCTCTACCCTGTGCACTGTCCACCCGTCTGTGGTAATACTGCTCCCACCATCTGCTGCCATGAACACACAGACACATACTCACGCGGATGCACACAGATAAAGTGCTGCTGGCGGGTTACATCAGCAGCACTAAGTCATATAACAAAGCCCATAGTCACAGATCAGGATTAGAAGATGAGATAAGAGGAGATCTGCGAGTGACAACCGTTGGTGTCAACATGGCGTCTTCTGTAGTGCGCCGCCGATGAGAGAGATTTGAATTTCTTTCATCTGTTGGACAAAAACTCCAAAACGTCTTTCTTTTGATTTGCCAATTGCACCTTTTTGAATGAGTTTCACGGAGCCAGGAGCGGTAAAACTTCTTATGACCGAGACGGAAATGAAAAATACAGAAAAAAAATCAGGTCCTCAGGCAAAAGGAGAAATATTCTCTCCTTGTGCTGAGCTCTGACTGTCAGGATAAAGAGACGAGCACTGAAAGCTGGTATCAAATTGGTTCATGCTTATTAGCAATAATAGGAGACTCTGTCCTGCTCAAGGACACTTCAGCAGGTAAAAATAAAAACACAGCTATATGTAAGGGGCAGGAACCACCACATGCCCCACAATATGATATTATCACGATATATTATTACAACTTAAAAGTTATTTGAGTATTTCGATAATATACACTCACTGACCACTTTATTAGGTAGACCTTGTCTGTACTGGGTTGGACCTCCATTTACCTTCAGAACTGCCTTTATTCTTCATGTCATAGATTCAACAAGGTGCTGGAAACATTCCTCAGAAATTTTGGTCCATATTGACATGATAGCATCACACAGTTGCTGCAGATTTGTCAGCTGCACATCCATGATGTGAATCTCCCGTTCCACCACATCCCAAAGGTGCTC